CCGGCTCTTCCCGGAGCCGCCGCTCCCCGGCCGGCGGACCTCCCCAGACGCGCGGGGCCCTCCCGAGCCTGGGAGAAGGCCGCGGCCCGGCGACCCCCGCCCCGAGCGGTGACCGGGGAGGCCTCGATCCCCGGCCAGGGCCCAGCCCGCAGCCCCTCCCTCCTGGGGCGCCTTTTCCCGAGCCGCCGGTGAGAGACCGAGCCCCCGGACCCCCGGGGATGGAGGTGTCCGTTCTTGCGGGCCACACAGCCGGCTACACAGAGTCCAATCTGGGACGTGGAAAGATTGATTTCCTCCCCCACCCCCCCAGGGCTGCGAGAAGGGAGAGTCGTTTCTGATTTTAATTAGTGGCAGGAGACGCTCCCCGCTTCCCGTGCATACGGGGATTTCCCTGACACCCGCACCACCGCATCCCCCCTCCCCCTGCTTCCAAAAATAATTTAATTACTCGGTGTTCTAGCTGCGAGCGGCGACCGCCCAGTCAGTATGGGACGCTCCCTCATTAACACTTTTTTCCTCCCCTCTGGTTTCAGCGTTGGGATTAATTACAAAGGGACCCCTGCCCTGGGGGAGCGAGAGAGGGGGAGGCGCAGGGGCAGGGAACTTGGATGTAGGGGAGAGGGGCGCTTCTCCCAGGAAACCTCCAAAGGCCTATCAGGTCCTTAACCCCAATCAAGCAGGCTCTTGGCCCTAGGGGCTTCAGATACCTTGGAGTTGGGGGTACTAGACGGGATGTAGGTATCCCAAAACATCCCACACAATTGGGGCATTTCTGCCTTGGAGCATTCCAAGGAACCAGCTGGACTTCCTGAAGTGGGGCAATAGCTCTGAGCCCCCCGAGAGTCTCCCCCATCATAAAAGCCTGGGTTGTGGGAAGTCCCTATGCCCTTTGGAGTGAGCAAAAGCTTAAAGTATTATTATATTATCTTATTATTGCTGCTCAACCCTACACTTACCTTGGAATAGTAATACTTCCAAAGCACCTTCACATACTTATCCCTTGCAGGTCCTCTCACCATCTCAACATCTTTGGGCTTTCAGTCCTGATACCTTCTAACCCAACCCTGTGATTAAGAAGTCCCAAGGGAAAGAGGTTCTCAGCTTGTTTGGGATTTCTGCTCCTCCCTAATGAAATTTTTTCTCTGAGACTGAAGCTTATCCTTCACAGTTGTCCATTCTAACCTAACCAACCACGAGGACAGAGCCACCTTCTTCTGCATGGTTAGCACTCAAAGATGGAAAACCTTAGGAAACACTTCCCTTCTCCTTAGCCCTTGCCTCTCCTCACCACCCTCCGCCCCCATCACACACCACGAGTGAGCAAGTGACTCACTACCAAGACTGCATGCGATATGCAGAATCATTATTTCCAGGACCCAAGTCCCTGTGTACTGAGTTCAGGTGCTTGGTGCCTGTCACGTGCCCGGCACCAGGCTGCACCCGTGATCCTGGCGGTATATGAAGGATACGTGGCAGAAGAGCTGGGAAAGGGAAAGGGAGGCAGAGCAGGCTTAGGTGTTCCCAGCCCTGCCCCGAGCGCACCCCACCCTGTGCCAGGCAGCGAGTGTCTAATTTGACTCACTGTTGGGGCACCAGCTTCAGCATGAAGTATGTTCACATGATGCTAGCCTGTTTCACAAGACTCAGAAAGGCCCAAAGAATCAGAATTATAGATATCTGGAATAACAGTTCTGTAGACTGGCCCCACCTAAAGTCAAAACCTAAGTCAGGATGTCAACAGATAAAGTTTCAGCGTTAACAGATACCGGGCATCGAGCTGGAATAAACTCAAGCTCTCCTTTCTCCTCTCCGAGGGTGGGATAGGAGGCTTTCAATTCTACCTTTGCAACAAAAGCACTGGATTACAGAGGCGAGGTCCGACATTCATTCTAACTGGTGTGATGTGTCCCATGCAGCAATTCTCTGGGCTACCTTCCACGCTCACCCCTAGAATGGAAACCCATCTGGATTCACAGAGTGAAAAAATGGAGATCCAAAGAGGAGGTCCATGTATCCTAGGGCCCAAGGGACCTAGGCTAACTCTAGGAGGGAAGAGGACACTGAGGTGACATCCAACTGGGATTTTCCCAAGGGCCTCAACCCACAGTGACAGAGGGAGTCAGGACCCTGAAGGACAATAGAGTGGAACAGATTATTATATTTATTATTATTTATTAATTTCGAAAACACAGCTCCTAGCTTTGAGGACATGGGCAAGTTTCTTCATTTCTTCCGGGCTCAATTCCTGTTTATATAAAATGGGACTAATAAGGTAACAGAAGGAACCCTTTCCATATACACATCATGCCCCAGTCAATTCTCAATCAAACTTGCCCTCTTTGTTAGGTACCTTACAAGATTCCTAGTGCTTTCTAGAACCTCACAGGCCTCAGGCAGTAGGGATAGAACAGGCTGACCAGAGGCCTCTCAGGAGCCGTGGAGGTTTCACCTCCAGGGAGGATGCAAAAGGCTCGTGAAGTGGCGATGGACACTCTCTAAAGGAAAATCCCAGCTGAGAGGAGGGCCTGCTTCCGGTGCAGATGAGGCTGTTCCCAGAAGTCAGGCCCAGACCACAGTGGCAAATGTTAGGTCTTCCACTCTGGTGAAAAGTAGAGCCCTTTCCCAGCACTGCTGTTTAGAAAGGGGTATCCTTAGGACTTTGCTTAACCACAGAAGCTTCACCCCCTAGCAGGATGGCCATCAGAGTCTTTCAATGTTGAGTGATCAGCAATTTCAGCCAACTCCCAGGTACAGGTGACCCCAGTCATGCGCACATCCCGGCCACAACCACCATCTTCCTAGAGCCCTGCTGATAAAACTGGGCACAGTTCTTTTTTTTTTTTTTTTAAGATTTTATTTATTTGACAGAGAGAGGGAACACAAGCAGGGGGAGAGGGAGAAGCAGACTTCCCGTGGAGCAGGGAGCCCAACACGGGGCTCGATCCCAGGACCCCAGGATCATGACCTGAGCCGAAGGCAGACGCTTAATGACTGAGCCACCCGGGCGCCCCAAAACTGGGCACAGTTCTATCTCCCAGGATAATTAGAGCTCTTTCACTAGTACCCACTTTCCTAGAAAGGCACCTCTCGATGCTTACAAAAATATTTCCGGATCCAGTCTACACTGTGAAAACAGCTGGATTTTTTTTTTATTTTATTTTTTCATTTTTAGTAAGAAAGGAAACAAAATAGCAAAACATCTTAACTGGTTAAGAACGCTGTGTATCATAGGGTTGTTGCGAGGTGTCTCTCTCTTCACTAAGCTCCTGGTCTCTTTGAGAACAAGGACAGAGCCTCATTCATTCCTACATCAATGGCACATAAGTCACTAAATTGGTGTCAGCTCCCTTCTAACTTCCTTCTCTTTTTGTAGTCCTCACCTGTCCCCAAACTTTACCATCCCCTGTCATCCAACCTTTATCAAGTGCGAGGTTCCTCAAACCCCATCCTGTTATCACCAGTCTAAAGAGTTACCTACAATGAAACCAGGGGTTCTCAAACCTTGACTGCAGATTTTAATCACCTGCGAAGCTCTGACAACATACCAATGCCCAGGACCCATCCCAGAGTCATTAAACCAGAAATTTCCAAGGTGCACCCAACTATTGGTGCTTTTTAAAAGTTATCTCAGTGATTCTAACGTGAGAACCACTAAAGCAAACTCTTCCTGATTTCCTTCCTCCCTCCTCAGCAGAACAAATGCCCCACGTCCCTTGCCAAGGATACGTCCTCCAGGTTTGCCTTAGATACCGTCCTTTCCTGCGCCCATCTGTTTCCCCCAGTCTCTCCTGTGTCTAACTTGGGCCTCCTGGCTCATCCTTGCCCAGCTGGCAGAACAACATAAAATAGGCCCCTCCACTCTGCAGGCTCCCTTTGCTGCAGTGCTCCCTCTCCCCTCCTTCACATCCAACCCTCCTAAAAGAGTAGATTCCTCATCACCATCCTCCTTCCTCCCATCACCCCTTGGCTTCCTGCATCTCACCCATCCTCTCAATCTCTTCTCCTGACTTCAAACACTGGTATTTCCCAGGACTCAGCATTCGGCCCCTTTATGCCTCACCTTACAGGCTCTCCCAAAGTATTGTCATTCTCTCTCGTGCCTTCCATCAGCACTTACTTATTCATGCTCCTAAATCCAGATCGCTCTTCTGAGCATCAGACTCATATTTCCAGCATCCTGCTGGACATTTTAACTTGGCTCTTCTTTGGGTGTAACAGGTTTAAAGGGGACACATTACCTTCCCTCCACCCCCCACTCCCTTGGCTTATTCAGACCTTTCTCACTTCCAAACTTGCATCGTACCCTTCCAATGTATCTTCCCCTCCACGGCCAGTGTGCTTTTTCTGAGAAAGAGAAATCAGATGGTCACTCCCTTGCCTAAAACAAGCTGGTGGTTCCCCACTGTCAAGGGGTGAAGTCAAGACTTCTTGGCACTCTGTGTGAGGGCCTTGAGTACCTGACTCACTCTCCCCTACAGCCCTCTCTCCTGTTACTTCCTGTGCATTCAAAACCCAAGTCTTCAACATGCATACATTCAAAGTATCCTCAGGTATGGGCTGTTCTGCCAAGTTGGGACTCTGTTACTGCCTCCCTCTACCTTCACATGGTGTTTCCTTTGCC